TCATTTTACAATTCCAAGGTAACATTTATTATTTTTTTCGTAAATTTGCCCTTACTACTATTAAGAGAAACATTGATGAAACAATTAATGAGAGTGGACTTTTAGTCATTTTATGATAATTTTTCTAGATTCTATGTATATTTATTGATTTTCTTAATATGTATGCATGGGCTCAAAACGACAAACAGAATGGGAAGGAGGGAGTATATTACTACAGCACAGGCACAAGAACGCAAACACAACGAAATGGGGAAACGGACACGGGAAAACCCCACATCTTAAAAAAATGGATACGCCGGATAACGTAGAGAAATGTGTAAAATTTAAAATATATAGGGGTATATTCATAAAATTCTAAAAAATATTACAATTGTTAACATCTATATTTGTCATCAATTATAGATATGTATCCGTAAATTACATATAATTTACAAATTTGAATCCGTATTAAATTTGTTTTAGTATATGATTGACATCAATAAGAAAATATGAGAACAATAAAAGTAAAAAAATGGCTTAATTCCACTTTGCACCCTTGAAATATATACCATTTTGGCACTTTGCACCCTCGAAATAAATTAATAGCACTTTGCACCCTCGAAATACAATAAATCATGCATAATGCACCCCAAATGATTTTTTAAAGCTAAAAAATATAAATTTAATATTTGTAGTGATATTTTTTTAGGATGCCAAATGTCAAATATTTTTTTATTCATCAATCATTTTGAAACTATAAAGTTCAAAAATAAAAATACATTCCATCAACATATTTAAAAATTATATTGTTTTATCAAAATAAAATATTTTACGAAAAAAAATCATTCAGCTACTACGTTATCAAGTTATCTGAAAATTATTTTTTCTTCCAAATATTTTCACCTAATATTTTACAAACAGTGACATAAAAGATCCACAATCGAATAATTTAGTGATAAAAGATTATTTTTTTTATTTTTCTTTTGTAAGATAATGTAGTTTTTTTTAAATAATCCGGTGTAATTTTTATTTTTTCGCACTTTGTCCGCTCGAAATTAGGTTTGAGGTTCAAGAAAACAACAATTTTTTTTTATTTTGTACTCCAAAAAGAAAAACACCAATGAAAAATAAAATTACCTTTATTATTCAATTGAGGGTGCATTGTAATGATTTATTGTGTTTTGAGGGTGCAAAGTGCTATTATTATTTTTTGAGGGTGCAAAGTGCCAAAATGGTAGATTTCAAGGGTGCAAAGTGGAATTAAGCCGTAAAAAAATATTAAGGGTGACATAAGATTTTTTATATTTTTTTTTTAAATTAAAGGGACACGTACAGTTCTAAGTATTTATTTGAGGGGGCAATATGCCAAACACCCTTCATTGGGAATTGAATTCTTGATAAATCCTTTTTTGATAAATGATATTTGAGATAAATCCAATGGGTCTGAAAAACCATATATGCCCCCACTAACTATTAATTAGTATAATTATTTAATTTAAAAAAAAATACACCCATAATCTACACCAAATCTTCTCCTAAAATTATTCCCCCATCACGTTAATTCAGTTTTTTTTTTCCTTTTCTTTTTTATTTTGTTTAATGGTTTTCTTTATTTCCATTTAAAATAAAATTTTGTAATTATATTATTATTTTTTTTTTCGGTTGTTTATGTTAAATTATTTTTTTTTCTTATTTATATTTTTCATGTTTTTTATTTTAATTTTAAAAATGGTTTTATTTTTATTTTCGTTTTTTCATGGTTTTTTTTTAATTTCAAAGTTTTTTAAAAATGGGTATTTTTATTTTCTTTCCAGTTTTTTTAAATAAAAACTACTCTATATAAACATGAAAACCACTCTATAAACATGAAAACCACTATAACAACTATATAACATGAAAAATACTATGTATAACAACTATGTAAACTTGAAAACCACTCTTTATAATAACTATGTCAACTTAAAAACCACTATGTATATACAGTTAACTAAAAATTTGTACAAAAATTCTTGAAAACCACTATATAACATTGTTGAAAACCACTATAAATTTCTCAATGACAAAGTCTGACA